ATATAAAGCTAAACCCCAGGGCTTTAAAAGCAGGTGTTAGAGGCACCTGTGGGCAGGGATGAAGGCGGTGGCAGGTACAGGCAGCAGCAGCAGGGGAGCTTTAACAAGTCCAGCAGTTGGCACCTTTTGTAAGCACTGACTGTTTCCAGCAGCAGTCAGTCTCTCCCATACGAAAAGCGTAAGGCTGCCACACAGGCTTTGCTTTTGCTAGCAACTTCTTGGACTAAACAGACATCCATGATAGCCCCTTGCAGCCTGCAGACCAGGAGCTGGAGGCTGTTGGTCTAACTAGAAGGCATCTCACAGTTACCGCCATTTGCTGTGAGATATCACCACCTCAATCGTGCAATTTCTTAGAAGCGTGGGTGTGGGATTTGGTCATACACACACACCAGCAGCATCTCATTTCAACTGTAGACTTTGAAAGTCCAGAATTACACCTGAACCTCTCAGAGCCCTCCAGGTCACACTCTCCAACAGCAGATGATGGGTATGAAAGGATCATACTGCTTGATGAAGTCCAAAAATGGTCACTTGTCAGTCAAGAGAGCCGAGACAATTGTATTTGCATGCCTAACAATGGAAGGATGAGTGAAAGACTGAATAAAACTGTCAGCTGTATATATAGAAGAAGAAAGAGCATTTCAGGTGAGGTCTAACATGGTGTTTTTATGGAACTTGATGTTGTTGTTGCAGAACATTGAAGAAAAAGCCTCTTGGGCTGCTCCTGACACCCCTCACCTATTTTTTTTAATTATTTGCTAATAAAAAGACAGGAAAATCCAATAAAATTACTTGGCCTTTCATGTTCTAATAGAAGCCAGTTTAATACAGAAAATACTATCATCAGTGACCAGCTTCACTCCCATATAGAGAAAATAGTACCAGTCAGTAACAGCCCACATCAGTTATAACCTCTGCATTAGAGAGAGAGGAGTGTGTCAGGAAAAGCAAAAGTTGACTTTTCCACAAAAACCATTAGGCAGTTTGTCAGACACATTGGTATTTATACATTTCTTATTCAACATGTTTCCTCAGTCTTTTTTCATTAGAGAAAAACATACTGGCTTTTCTGTTCAAGAGACATGAAGTACTGGGTACAGTAGTAGCTACAAAGTTCTACACTCTATTCTAAAGACAATTTGCTTCTTCAGTTAGTGTTGGTTTTACCATTTCATGTCACCCAAGATTTCTCAGGCTGTACAGATGTCTTCCTATTCTGATGACATCTAAATCTGGAGGGTGTGGATAACTATTGTTAGCAGTCATAAGTGGTGATGACAAGGGGCAATAAGCACACCTTTACTCTTCAACAAGAGCACATAAACTATGGATGCCGGTACTGTAAATAAAATTGATGGCCCCACTTCATCTCTGAATGAACCTCCAGAACAGGAGGTGCTAAACAGATCATAGCCCGATCTCAAATAATTATTTTGTGAATGATCCTAGGTAAAAAACCCTTTTTCTTTGCTGTTAATTTGCACATTAGCATAATGAAGACTCAAAGCTTCCTTGGAAGTATACTGTTTCTGGCTTACTGAAGTTGTACTTTTTATTTTTAACTAAGTGCTGAAAACATTTAGAAAAAGAATTGCAAGCAGGCCTGTACCACCTGCACCAGATATCCTGCGTTGCTGTAACACTGTCTATTTAGGGCAGAAGGTCACTCGTACTTCAACTACTGCAACATGTCACCACCTT